GACATAGAGAAGCCCTGCATGATTGGAATCTTCTCTGAAACTTGATCTTTAGAGAGCTGCCCAGAACAGTGAGAAGTTAAGGTATGTGCTCCAGTTCATATAGCCAGTATGAGCAGGAAGGACTTGAACCCAGGTCTTCTTGGCTCTGGGGACAGCTCTCTATCCACTATACCACACTGTCTCTCACTGTGGGAAAGAAAGAGACAGAAATGGAGAGACAGCAGAGACAGAGATACCGAAATGGAGAGGAGATAAATGTGGTAAATGGTAAGGTGCCCTGAACACTTGCCTTGTCTCTTCAGCCAATGTATGCCATGGGTTGTCTGCCTACCCCTTGTCCTAATACTTCTATCTGGCCCTCACACTGTTCATTCAACAAGAGATAAACCAGTAAGGAAAGGCTGGAAACATTTGCATTTTATCTTATTGTTTGGGTGGTGGCTATGGGGGTAATCGCGTTTCTAGGACTCAGGATTTGTAATGTCAGATAGAATTGGGAAACATTTGTCTGAGGGTATGTGCCTATATTACTCTTTAATGACTAGAGAAACTATAATCTGAAGTGCTAAATCCTAGCATTTTAGAACTGTTATGCATATATGTATACATATATACACACATATGTATTTTTAAATAAACTAACAAAATCCTATAACAATAATCCAATTATTACAGAAAGATGAATTGGGTCAAAATTTATCCTGAATAGCATAACTGGGATTCCTGTACCATTACAATTAATCAAGTATTGATTAAACACTTTGTGCCAGGCACCGGCCTCACAGAGTTTCCATTCTAATGGAAGAGACAACTTGTGAATAGATACATACAAGATACGTTTAAAATAGATGGACCTTAGAAGAAAAGGGGCTAATAGCTATGGGGCTAAGGAAGGCTTCCCGCAAAAGGTAAAATTTGAGCTGAATACTGAAAGAAGCCAGGGATTGATTCTAAGAGACAGAACCGAGCAAGGGCAGTGCTGGAATGGAAGATGACCAGTGCAAAGTTACTGGCACTGAACAAATGGGACAGCGGCACCTACAGTGGGGAGCATGAAGTGCAAAGATTCAGAGATAGAGGAACTGTATTCAAATGTGTACTCTGTCATTCACTACGTTGTGAGTTTGGACAAGTCACATTGCCTCTCCTGGCCTCAGCTGATTCTCCTGTGTAAGATGAGGGGACTGGACTTCTAAGTTCCCCTTCAGCTATAAGCCTTTCAAAGGCCATATCTATAACTGTTTTAGGAGGCCTGCCAGTATAACTGACAGAGCTGGGGCAATGGATGTCATAATGGATTATTGGACTTGGGGTTAGTTTAAGTTTAAGCTTAAATTTTGCCTTAGATACTTACTGGCTATGTAACCCTGAGCAAATCTCTTAATCTGTCTTAGCCCATTTCTTGACCTGTATAATAACACCTGAAGGAAGGGAAAGGCACCAGAAGTAGGGAGAAGAAGCTAAAAGAATAAGTGGGTGAGGGGAGAGGTGGCAAATAGAAACTTCCTTGCTGGGGTGGTTAGCCAGTAAGCTGTCTAGAGAGAGAGAGAAGCTTTAACTTGTTCTTAAAGATGCAATATACACTTTCACAAAACCAGAAAAGGACCATCAAACTAATCCAACCTGTACTTGGGTAACAATCAATTCTACAATATTCCCAAGAAGTGCATGTAATTTTCATTTTCATTTTTAACTTAACAAAGAGGCCAAAAAGAACAGGTATTTGTATATACGTAGAAGGGAGGGGGAAGAGGATTGCACATCAAACTGCAGGTCTCTATTATGTACAGCTTGCTTTGCTTCTTAATTAAATAATAACATCCACTTGCAGCCACAAGTGATCATTTAGTCTGTGTTTGCCCATTCCAATGAGGGGGACTCATAAAGCAGCCCTTTCTACTTTGGGGTAGCTCTCCAGTTGTTAGGAAATTTGTCATTATACCAAGCCTAAATTTGCTTTTCTGCAACTCCCACCTATTATTACTCCTACTCCTGAAAACAAGAAAAAGAAAAGAAAAGAAAAGAAAAAAGTTGTATCATTTTCCACATGACAGCTCTCAAAATTATTGAAAACAGCTATTATAAGCCCTCTAGTTCTCTTCTCCAGGCTAATACCCCCAATTCTTTTGAGTGAATTCTGACATGCCTTTCAGTCTCACCATTCTAGCTGCTCATTTTTAGATATGCTTCAGTTTGTGTATCTTTCATAAAATGAGGTCCCCAGAACTGAGCACAGTGTTCCGTACGTGGGTTGTCCAGAGAGAGCACAGCAGGATCATCATCTTCCTTGTTTGAGACACTATGACCATCTTAATGAAAACAGCATTGGCTTTGATGCCATATCATACTGTTGACTCATATTGAGTTTGAAATCTCTGAAGGCTCCAAGATCATTTTCGTGGGAATTGTTATCTGGCCATATCTCTCCCATTCTGTATTATGATGTTTACTTTTTAAAAAATCCAGCTATAGAACTTTACATTTGTCTCTACAGAATTTAATTTCATTCAATTTTTCACACAGTATAACACCTTAGTAAGTACATGTTTCTAAAAGATAAATAAGTCTGGCTGGCTAATTGATATCAATTGATGATCATCACATAGTGGTGAGAATCATAAAAAAAATAGAAAACTACCCTCAACCCCTCAGGATCATCCCTGGAACCCTAATGAAAGATAATAGTCACTTTCTAGTGACCCAAATTGCCAATAATAATAATAATAATAATAATAACATTAATGATGATGAAGATGAATATGATAAATACTAGTGGGGGTTGGGAGAATAGTCCCAGAACTTGTAGCACATAAGAAAGCATTCTTCCAATCTATGTGCCAATCTGCTTACATTGTCAAAAAAAAGGAAATGAGGTTACTTTGGTATAACCGGTTCTTGATGAAGCCACACTGGCTTTAGGTAGTCACTTCTTTCCTTTCTAAGTGTTCACCAAAAAAAAAATCCTTTTAATAACATGTTTAAGATATTTGTCAGGAAATAAAATATGCCGTAATTCAAAAAATCTACACTCTCTTTTTTAAAAGTTGAGATATTTACCAATCTCCAGTCATGTGGCACCTCTATTATTCTCTTAACATTGTTTAAAGATTTCCAACACAGCTTAGCTATCATTTCTGCTAGTTCTTTCAGTTTTCTAGTATAGTGTTCAACAGGACCTTGTGAATTAAACTCTCTTATCTTTGGTTTCTATTCCCTATTAGCCCTTTTTGCTCTATCCTCCCCAGTACAAAGATCATTTTCCTTGGAAAAGAAAAACAAAAGTAAAGTAGATTAGTCTTCCAACCATCATCTGCCATCATCATCATTCCATCTTCCCCAAGCATCAGTCTTATTCTTTCTTCGGTCCTCACTGTACCCCCAAACAAAGCTTATTTATCCATTCATTCATTCAATTCCATTCTTATCATTCAGCATTAGTATCAGACCACTCTGGGCTTCCACACTCCTCATATAATGCCTCTAGGATCACACGACTCTTTTGTATTCATGTTCCATAACTTGCCCTTGCTTCCCTCTCCTACACAAATCTTAAAAATCTGAGCTTAAAAAAAAAAACAAATGAGCTGTCTATGCAGCCACATTGTCTTTGTAGGCAGCCCCTCTTTTTCCTCATTATCAGAATCTTGTCTCTGTATGTCTTCATTTCTTTCTTGCAAACTTCCCATCTCCCTTTAGCCAACTTCCTTTTCAAAACGTTAAGCCACTAGATCATATCTATTTTTTCTCTCAACCATTTAAAATTTGTTTTCCCCAAACCTAGGGCACAAGTCTAGTCAGATACTGCTTTTCTCTTCTCTTCCACAAATACTCTAATGGATAGTCACTTGTCCTCAAGGTTGCTGTTATTTCTGAACCTTGAAATGGCACAAGGTTGCCAGTTCCTCTTTGTTGTTCAGAACCAGGGGCAGAATTAGTTATCTTTGTCACTTTGTTCAGCTTTTGAAGGATGAAGCTGTGGTAAGGTGAACCACACTTATGAGCTGCTCCGGTTTTGGTAGAAAGAGCACCAGTGTCCACCCATCCAGATATCCAACTTGGGGCCTCAATCACTTTTATACTAGAGAAACATACTAAAACTTCTCTAAAACTGTCAGACTAGAAGAGCTGTTCTGTCTTTTTTCCTTTCAAAAACATTTTATTTTTATCAATATCTTGATTTTTAAAAATATATCGTTCTCCACTCTCTTCCACAGCAAGCAGTAACCCAGTAACAAGAAAATAAAAGGGGAAAAGAAAAAAAAAAAACAAACAAGCAATTCAGCAAAACTAACCAATACATCAATTCAGTATGACACTACATGCAATGTTCCATACCCAGGGTCCTGATTTCAAATTCTCCTAGCTTCAAGATTTGATGCAAGTTGCTAAATGTCCCTGGATCTCAGTTTCCACATCTGCAAAACAGTGGAAGGGGAAGGGATTGTTCCATGTCCTCTCAGGCCCTTCCAGCCCTAAATCTTGTGATGCTAAGGCAGCTGTGGGGAGGGCACCGTGGAAAGAGCTCTGAACATGGAATCAAAGGACTACAGGTCAACGCCCAAAGCAGGCTGAACGTGAAGGAACTGGGCTGATTCCTGGCTCTGCCATTAACTAGCTGGGTGGGTGGTTCTGGGTCAGTCCTTGCCAGCCTCTAAGACCCCTTCCAGTTCTAGGCCAGAGCCCCAGGGGCAGCAGCGTGGAGGCACCGAAGTGGGGGCAGCACCCTTTGGGGAACCCTGATGGCGAGGCCGCCGCTTCTCCGCCGCGGAGGACGCGAGCGGGGCCGGCGCTGGGCTGCCATGCTCAGTGCGGGGCCCCACGTGGACGGACTGGCCCGGCCTGGATCAGCCCACACGACACCGGGCGCTCCTGCTTCCGGGACCGGTCTGGGGCTGGCCACGATGCCCCTGCCTCTTGGGTCCCTCCGGCCTCTGGCCTCCAGGGTCATTTTGGAAGAAGCTTGTGAGCCGGGCCAGCCAGGCCCCGAGGCCTGCCGCCCGGACAGTGACTACGGCCAGCCGAGCCACCCGCAGTTATGTCAGGTCAGGTCGGGGCCCCCCGACCCGACCCGCCCGGCCCGGCCGCACATGCACCGCGCGGGCGGGCGCACACAACACACACACACACACACACACACACACACACACATTAACAAGGTCTTAGTCACACCCAGACACACAGAGTCTCAGTATGCACACACATACACACACAAAGAGGGATATAAGGTTTCAAGTAGTCAGATCCTATCAGTATCCAGAAACCCATTCCCAACGTATAGTCCACTGAGATCAACGCTTCCCCAGCACATATAGACACTAATAGGTTTTCAGCCACACGCTGTTGTTTTTAATTAGACCTGCGGTTTTAAAACTATATCCAGTGCATAGCACAGAGTCTAGCACATAGCAGGTGCTTAATAAATGTTGATTGAATGATTCCATTGGTATATGAAACTCTATCAATGCAAATGAGAGCCTTGTCTGCATTTTATTGTCTTAGAGAGTTGTCTGGTGCACTGGAAGATTAAGTGACACAGCTAGTATGTGTCAGGGATGGGACTTGAACCCAGGTTTTCCTGATTCTTTCCTGAGTGTGGAGTTTAAAAAAAAAAAGGAAATTAAAGTTTACCTTGAATGACATAGGAAGAGACCCTAATATAAAAGATTATAAACATCTTGAGAGGTCCAGCCTCAGAATCTGGAAGACTTCGGTTCAAGTCCCACATGTGACATAAGACTAGCTACGTGACCATGGACAAGTCATTCAGATTCTCAGCAGCCCAAGAGTCTCTCTAAGACTGTAAGTTACATGGTGGTTTCTAATCAACATTGGTGGAGGGAGTTTAATTCCTCACAGTGCACAGGTTGAGGTATAATCACAGGTTGAGACTTCCCCCACCACCTATACCAAAATTTCTCCTGTGCTCAAAGTCTTGCAACCTAATTAATTATTGTTGAGTTGAATTTGGGATGTAACTATTCAGACTATTTTATTTTTAATATATCTCGAGTTAAAAGGGACTTTAAAGGCTATGTAGTCCAACCCTCTCAATTTATAGATGAGAAAATGAGATCCAGGAAAGTGGGGTGACTAACGCAAACTCAGATAGTGAATAGCAAAACTGGGATTTGAATCCACGTCTCCTGACTCTAAATCGAGCACTCTTTCCACTATTCCATTCATTAGTCATTTTATTAGGAAGATGAGGTAGGGAGAGACAAAATTATTTTTCCTATCATTTTTCACTTCTTATCTGGATCATTGGGGTCATTTCATCAAATTCAGTATTTTCATCTCGGGGATTTGCAAGTAGCACGGCACCATGGAAAGAACACAGTATGTGGACTGAAAGGTCTAAGTTCAAATCCCAGATCCACTGACATTAGCTGTGAGACATTGGACCAGTCTCTAAACCTCTTTCTGGGCCTCAGTTTCTCATCTCTAAAATGAAGGTTGCCTAGAAGTTCCCTTCCATCTGTGACTTTTTCCCCCCTGTGTGAACTTAGAATTTATACTACTTTTATTGAGATTCTGGTACCTTTTTGTTGTCTTTTACCCACATAAGTAACAACAACGACAATTTGAATTTATATATTGCCTTTTATTTATATTGTGTTAATGAATAACTTTAGCAGCAACTGATCAGTACTTACAAGTAAGATAGGTAGATGACTCTATTAGTCAACATTTAGGAGACAGCAGAGAGATATTGAAATGCTCGCAGAGCTCCAGGCACAGAGCTGGCCTTAGTCATTTAAGTGATGGGATTGTAGGCACCATGAAAGCTCTTCTTTGTCCTCAAATATTCCCCTTCTTTATCACTTGTATACCTTTTGGGAAGTCTTTTTTGCCTTTAGGTCTTCCTAGTCTAAATGCAAACATCTTTGGGAAGTATAACACTTTAAGCCCTTACTTAGCAGCTAACATTTTATTTGGAATTACTTTAAAAATTAAAATCCAGGCCTCAAGGAGTGAAATGCAAACTAGGCCTGGGCCTCCTAGGTGGGAGAAATTAAGCCAAAAGGAGAGATGTCAGGAAGCATTTATTAAGAAGTTACTATGCATTAAATATATAAGCATTGGACACACAAGAAAAGGAAAAACTTGGTTCTTGTTCTCAAGGAGTTCACGTTTTAGTGGGGGAGACAGCGTGCAAATAACCACATGTATACATGTACAGTGTAAATGGAAGGTATTCTTCAAGGAAAGAGATTGGGGGTAGGGAAGGCCTCCTGCAGAAGGAGGGATTCAAGCTGAGTTTTGAGCAAGTCAGGGAAACTAGGAGTTGGAGGTAAGGATGGAGAGCATTCCAGGCATTGGAGAGAACCAGTGAAAACGCAAAGAGGTATAAGATGGAGCGTCACATGTGAGGAACAGCCAATACACTAGTTTAGACAGGTTGGAGTGTACTCCCCCATTGGAAAGGAGTAAAGTGTAAGAAGATTAGAAAAGTAGGAAGGGACAAAGTTGTGAGGGGCTTTAAATGCCACACAGGATTTTATTTTTGATTCTAGAGATAATAGGGAGACAGTTGCATTTACTGAGGAGGGTGGCGTGGGTTGATATGGTCAGACCTGAGTTTTAGGAGAGTCACTTTGGCAACTGAGAGGGGGAATGGATTAGAGAAGTAAAGGATGTGAGACAGACAGACTAATTAGAAAGCTATTGCAATTGTCCAGGCATAAAGCAATGAGGGCCTTACCAGGGTGGTGGCAGTGCCAGAGGGAGAAAGAGATACGAAAATAAAACTAATAAGGTTTGACAACAGATTGGATGATGAGTTCTAGTGAGGAGTCTAGCATAACACCAAGGTTTCAATTCTGGGTGACTAGTTGAATGGATAGTGGTGTACTCAACAATAATAGGAAAGGTAGAAAGAGAGAAACGTTTGGTTTAGGGTACCAAAGAAAACTGTACTCTCTCATAGTCTTACCTTAAGAGGGACAGTACCCAGATACCCTGATGAGGTGAAATAGAATATAGAAAGAATATAAGAAAGGAGAAAAAAATCTTCCTGCCTCTAACTTCTATCTCTATTCCTGTACTAAAACTGAAATTTGTATGAAGTCAATGACATAAGTGGGAACCTAACTTTTTTTTTCACTGCCCCTTGTTTATCTTTTCCCCCAACCTATTGCATTTTAATGCATTTGAAAAGATATCAACACTATCACAGTGACACAAAGAAATTACTTCAAATCAGCTACAATTTTGTCTTGGAAATTAGAACATAAATACAAAATAAAACAACCACAAAAACCAAACCCTAGTCAAACAAGCAACTAGTTTTAATGATTGTTCCAGAGGTTCATTCCACTCAAATATTGAATTTCCTATACCATGTAACTAAGGGGCAGCTCAGTGGTGCAGCAGATAGAAGTCCTAAATCTGAGGTCAAGAAGATTCATCTTTTCCAGTTCAAATCTGACCTCAGACACTTAGTATCTGTGTGACCCTAGGCAAGTCACTTCACCCTGTTTGCCTCAGTTTCCTCATGTGTCAAATGAACTGGAGAAGGAAAGGGTAAACCACTCCAGTATCTTTGCCAAGAAAACCCCAAATGGGATCATGAAAAGTAGTAAGAGAGAACTGAAAGGCCTGAAAAGCAGCATACCATGTAACTATGATGCATTCCAGTGAGGTCTTACTGGGGGGAAAAATACCCTGCCTTGTATCATGAAAATAATGCTAGATCTGGAGTCAAACAACGTGAGTTTGAATGCCAGCTCTACCAGCTGCATGATCTTGACCTCTCGGGGCCTCAGAACCTTATTTGCAAAATGAAAAGGCTAGACCAGATATCTAAAATCCTTTCCAGTACTAAATCGATGAGCCTAGATTAGGGAGCAAAACAGTGCCCTGTTCATAATAAATACTTAATACATGTTCATAGAATGAATGAATGAATGAATGAAAAGAAAACTGATTTTTTAAAAAAATCTTTGTATTTCAAGCAATCTGGATGGTTGGTGTATTCACAGCACATGGATTATTGAGATTTCATGACTATTTTTGGTATTTCATAGATGTTACTTAAGTCTACTTCAGAGTTATTCTTAATCACCCAAGCTGGGACAATTCCTAAATGAGGTCAAACATTATAGCATACACCATATGCCACTGAGAAAACTATAGACCTTAATTTTGTATCTTTCCTCAGTACACAGATCCATCTAAGCAGCTGAGCCTCTTAGACCAGGGCCTGTAACATTATATTCTCATAGCACAGAGAGCATAAACCCCTATTGGAAACCTCTGTATTGAAAAAGACAGATTGAGCAGTATACCTATGAATAACACAGGATAACCAGAAAGTAAAAATAAAATGTGGTTGCTCTAATAGAGAGGGCATGCAGCATTGATTTCACTCAGTGGCCTGTATTGATTATGGGCATCCTACCATTTCCTAGAATATAATCAGCCTTTTCTCATCCTTCTCTTCAACTCTCCTTCCCCTCTCTTTTTCTCCCTTTCTTTTTCCTTTTCTCTTTTATCTATGACTTCGGCCTACTAGTGGCTCCCACTGGTATTGCTTAAGATTCAGTAATGTCTTGAAGATCTTGGATCCCGTTAAAGCCAAGAGATTTTTCTGAGTGAGAACTGTAGAATTGAGTTCAAATTAAATCATCTGAAGGCCCTGAACAAAATCTCTTCAGTACCCTAAGAAGCAACATCTTATCTTGGAAGCTCCCAGTTCACAGACCTGGGTTTGGACAAGGGGGTAGGGGGAAAGGATTTGGTTTTTGTTTTAAAAGGCAGATTTTCAAAATAGAACCTTCAGCTGAGTTTATGAGATGATTCAATCTCTGGAATGAACTTCATCTCCTTTTATTTTGGTTAGAAATTTGGTGCCCTAGCTGGTGTGCACGTCACTCTTCTAACTCAAGGGCAATTTTAAAGATATCAACGTCTTATCAGGTCAAGTGTCTAAAAGAACTTGAGAAAGACTACCAAGGTCAGAAATTATTTCAAGCCAAGGAGTCTATCTTCTAATTACTTATTTTGACTTGTAACCACAAATCTGTCTTTTCTAAGTGTCCAATCATATTATAAATCAAAGCTTGCATTTGGTGGGGATACCTATACTAGAGGGTACTTTGCAGGGGGAATGTGAGTTGTAGTTTAAAGTTGTATTGGACTTCTCCATTATTTCTGCCATTCTGTAGGTTTTAAAACAGTATTCCCTGAAGGCAAGAAAGACAAGATGATCCTGGAAATGCTCAACCCAATGCATTACAATCTCACCAGCATGGTACCTGAGGCAATGCCAGCTGCTACTATGCCAATCCTCCTCCTCACCTGCTTTCTCCTCATGATTTGGAGTTATGAAGACACTTCCTCAATACCAGGTAAAATGGAGGTGAAAAGCATTTATTTTGTGGCTTAGCAGAAAATTTATTTGGGTTTTGGGGCAACAGAGATGGAGAAAATCTTGCACAATAGCATAAAGACAGAATAAAAGGCTACTAGCATGGTGTGAATCCTATAGCCAGGGTTCTACTAGTGAACTGTAGAATTGAAGTAGTCTTCTAGATAATCCAAGCCAAATTTTTTGTTTTTAAGTCAGTTGTCAGGTCACTTAAAATCCATCCAGCCCTTTAAAACCATCTAAATAAATGCCTCTGTTCTACACTTCACTTTCTTTCCTAAGGTACACTTGGCAAAAGTATCCTCTTAAACTGATGTTTGAAATGAGGTAGAATGAGGGGATGTTGGAAATTTAATTCCAATTCTTCTTCTTTTTTTTTTTAATGACAATTTTCATTTCATTCCGCTTTTTCTTAGCAGGTGAACTCTGGATAGCCTTCAGCAGCTCTTTCAACTTTCCCTCCTACTTTGCCTCCGACCTCCCTCCCTCTTTTCCTTCTATTCTTTCTCTCCTCTCCTCTTTCTCAAGAAGGTGGTCAGGCTTAGTGGTCAAGGCTGGATGGGCGCTGGGGTAGAGAAGGGAGAGAAGCAATTGTCTCCATTCCTTTCATTTCCCACCTTAAGTTCTGCTATAAATCACTACAATGAAATCCATAGGGAGACAAAACTAAAAAATTGAGACGATTATCCAGATTTTGCAAGTCACAAGCGCTACAAAGCTGTTGTTTTGGGGATTGCCCAGAAGATTTCCTGTGAGTATTTATGTCTTTAGTTTTTACCTAAAACTTCTCATGGCAGGACTCTTGAAATGTGTCAAATTTTGTCTGTAATTGTGGTTCATAAGCATGCTTATTAAGCTTTTGAAAGTCTGGTCTGCATAGCCGGAGATAACTAGGCAAGTTAGGGTAGAACCAAACGCCTAGCTTTGGCAGAGTAGCTAAATAATGATGGAATATTTTCCCCTGAATTATCGAAATAATTGCTTGCCTCTCCACTTGCCTCAGCCTGATGCTTTGGGCTAATTTAACAGCTGATTTTAGCAAGAGCACAATTTGATCAGTTGACATACAATTGATCATTAGAACGGGCAAAAAATCGTCATCAGCTTTCTGATATTTCTGTGAGACTATCAGTGAGTAAATTAAACCTCATTGGGATTATTAGTTTCAAAGTCTATAAATTCCTAGTTCTTTACTTGGTTTGCTGAATTAAACTATGGCTTTTGTTAGCTATATCTTTCTATTTTAAAATCATAGGTGATTTTTCTAAGTAAATATTAGGGCTATTTTGACACAATGCCAAATTTTAGGATGAAAAGTGAAAAATTTAGGATTTCAGTCATTTCTTTCCATATCTCCAGATGTTATCAAATTATGTAGATTAAAACATCCAGATATTTGAATGGATTTTTGTTTTAATCCAAATGTTTAGCACCATGTAGAAATGGCTTAAAAGGATTCCCTAAAGAGTAAATGTTTGGAAATCTTACCTCTTAGGACATATGCATAAATCTAATAAAAATGCCTTCAGAATTTGTTATTGTTCATGTTACAAAATAATTACCTCTATGAAAAACTAATGAAAACTGGTTGATCAGTTCTTTGTTAGAACTGTGTGGGATGGTTTAAATATAAAAGCTGGTTCCTGAGTTCAAAGATTTGTGCTATTATAAAAACAACCATATGTTGTTATCTTATTTTTAAATTCACATATGTATGTGCATGCACGCTCTGGTGTGTGTGTGTGTGTGTGTGTGTGTGTGTGTGTGTGTGTGTGTGTGTGTAATGATCATTTTGTTTTCTTGCTTTTTATCTGAAATAAAATGACAGCCATCTTCTTAAGGGGTGGAAGAGAGGCTGTCTTTGTGGCTTCTCTAATCTAGCCATCGTAAAACTAAGTATTGATAGTTATTTGGTGAACTAGAGAACTAGTTCAGATAATTTAGATCAAAGCTTATGTTGTCAAGATTGTGAGTCTGACAACCTGGATTCTAATCCCAGGTCTGCCACCAGCTGGCTGTCTGACCTTAGGGAGGGAACTTCACATCCCAGGACCTCCGTTTCCTCATTTGCTACTTGAAGGGGTAGGACTAGATGATCATCCAGCTTCAAAATTTTATGATTCTATGATTGTACATTTAATTCTATAAACCTCAAGTTCACTTGGGCTGGTGATGGAAAGGATGTTTCATAGCGCTCCCTTCCCAATAAATGTAATGTCATTGACAGTTTGAGATTAAAAGGAAGAAAATTTAAAAGGTTATTTTATAATAAAACCACAAAACTATCTCAAAATTTAAAAAAAAAACTTTTTACTACAACCAGTTAAATTCATATCACTCCTTTTCGTGCTTTGAAATGAACAGTATATGAAATTTTTCATCAGTGTGATGGATTAAGTGCCTTTGCAATTCTCTGGATGTGTTTGCATAAGCAATGTGAAGTGGGGAATCGAGTCAATTATTTGAATTAAAAACATCTGTTGGGGGTAGGAAATGGATCATTGGGCCCAGATGATCCAGATTGGCTGGCATTGATCAGGCATTGGATAATTGTTCAATTCTTTGGCCCACTTTGTTTAGCCTAAAGTTCTCCTTTCCCAATGAAGCAGTGTTTAAAAGTGAAATTACATGCTTTGATAGACATTATTATCATTACAAAGTTGTAGGACTCACATGATCTCTCAGTTCAGTAATCTGTAAAATGGTTACTCCAAAATGACCATTCAGTTTAACCTTGACTCAGTCGCTATTTTTTTTTACACAAAAGCCAGATTTGGAGCATTGTTAGACAATTAAAATGGTTTAGCTAGCTTTCTTTCACTAAAATTCCTGAATTTGTTACCTGAACAACTAATAAACAAAATTATACAAAATGAGAACTCAGTGTACCCCCAGTTCACTTAGGCTTTAGTAGGACTGATATTAAATTGAACTACTTCATCTATTTAATTATCGCTTATTTATGAAAGGAGAAAATTCTTCAAAGTAATACTACTTACATTAAATTAAATTAAATTATAATTGAAATAAATTTTCAAGGTAACTCAAGAATTTGCATTAGAATTCAGATGTAAAAGAATTTACATGATATGAAAATGGCATCTGGTTTTTAATGTGGGCTAAGATGGTAATTATATTTTGAATATTTTTTCTAGGTCCTGGCTACTGTATGGGAATTGGGCCCCTCCTTTCACATGGCAGATTCCTATGGATGGGAATAGGCAGTGCCTGTAACTATTACAACAAGATGTATGGTGAATTTATGAGAGTATGGATCGCTGGAGAGGAGACACTCATTATAAGCAAGTAAATATTTTTTAATCTTTTAAGAAATAACATTATAAAGTTTTAATTTGGGATTTTTATTTTGAATAATAGTTATTTCATTGTCTTAAGATGTTTTCTATTTTTGTGTAATTACAAGGAAGGTAAGGTACATAGCTGACCTGTTTACCTGATAAAATTGAATAGTACAGACAGACTGAATAATTTAGATTTTGCTCAAATAGAGACCTTTATAGGCAAAACATTGGAAAGTTGAATAGTTCTCTGACAAATCTTGACAGAGGATTAGTAGATTATATAATATCGATATTAATGAGGGTTTTAAAAGCCAATTTTAAAAGCTGAATTAACAGTATTATTGGATTATAACAAAGGCAAATCTGGCTGGTCCAGTTTGCTTGAGGGAAGATCTTAATGTATTTCCAGTTCTGTACTACTCTGTTCTATCAAATGGGCAGATCACCGAAAAACAAGCCAGTTGCATTTTACAGCCCAAGTTGCTTATGTGGAAAACGAGATTGTACATGGTCCAACTGATGGGTAGAAGAAAGCAATTTCTGAATAAATCTAGAAAAAATAAATTACTGAGAAAAAAAAAGTTTTGAGGGACTGAATTGTCCAAATTGCCTTTCTAACACTGGTCTAATTTTGGCTGTGATGTGACAGCCAAAATAAGTTAATGTGATTTTAGGCTACATTAAGAGAGGCACAGTGTTCTTCCTGACCCCAGAAAGCAGAGCAGGGAACAATAGAAGTTGCAGAAAGGTAGATTTAGGCTACCTATAAGGAAAAATTTCTTAACAATTGAAACTATCCAAAGTAGAATGGGCCTCTCTCTAGTAGATAAAGGGTCAAAGGATATGGACAATTTTCAAAAGGATTACAAACTATAAATGGACATATGAAAATATGTTCTAAGCCAGTAATAATGAGGGAAGGGGAAGTTTTTAAGACTCTGACGTTTCACTTCGTACCCTAGGAAGCAGCAAAAAACATGGGAAAAAGGTGACAGAATGGATAGAGCACCAGGGCCTGGAGTCAAGAAGACCTGAGTTCAAATTTGTCTTCAGACACTTACTAGTTGTGTGACAATGGGCAAATCACTTAGCTGTCTGCCTCAGTTTCCTCATCTGTAAAATGTTGTTGGTATTGAGAGAGCTGTGAAGTGGTCCAGCCTTTCTGGATTTCACTGTAGAATTAAACAAACAAAATATCTAAACTGTCCATACTCTTTGACTCACCGTACTCTTACTGGACATGTACACTCAAAGAAATCAAAGGCCAAAATGATTGACTATATACCAAAACATTCATAGCAGCATTCTTTGTGGTAGCAAAGAATTGGAAACAAAGTGGGTGACCAATGCTAGGGCATGGCTGAAAAGGCCATGGTGTATGAATGTAATTTAATATTATTGTGTAGTATGAAATTATGAATAAGGAATTTAGAGAAACATGAGAACATTTGTGTGTGTGTGTGTGTGTGAGACTATGGTGATGTACCTGGAAAGATCACTCAAAGGAAGATGATCCTGGATAACAGGAAAACCAAGGAAAGTTCTATAGAAGATAGAAATGAAATTGATTTCCTCCCTCGTGGGGGGTTGAGGAGGAAAGACTACCAGAGAAGAATATTATATTGCAGAATATTGTCAGACCTGATCTCTGCTATCAGATACTTTTGTTTAATTGTTTTTCTTTGTCTCAATGGAAGGTTCAATTTGAAGAGGTGGGCTGGTAAATGAATGTGATATGAAAACAAAAGTTAACATAGATGGAGAACTGAAAGGGATCTTAGACATCATCTACCCCAAGAGTTCTTTTTTAAAATTTTATTTCTATTTAATTTTTTTTAATATGTATTTTTAAAATTTTGGGTTACAAATTTTCTCCCCTCCTCCCTCCCCACCCACCCTCATTGAAAAGGCAAGCATGTCGATACAGGTTATAGATGTGTAGTCATGTACCCCAAGAGTTCTTAACTTGAGGTCTATGTATTTGTTTTTTAAATAGTTTGATAACTTTATTTCAATATAATTGGTTTCCTTTGTAATATATTTTATGTATTTTTGAAATTTCATGGCAGCTAAGTGGCCTGGTGAAGATCTGAGTTCAAGTTCATCCTCAAACACTTACTAGCTATCTGATTCTGGGCAAGTCATTTAACTGCTTCCTGCCTCAGTTTCTTCATCTATAAAATGGGGATAATAATAGACCTTACACCCCCATGGTTGTTGTGAGGATAAATGAGAGAATATTTGTAAAGCGCTTTGCAAACCTCAAAAGCACTATATAAATGCTAGCTATTGTTATTATTATGCATTTTAAAATATTATTCTGAAAAGGGTGATAGTCACTTAACATCTAAGTGTGACAGCAACTCTAAGACTGCCAGTTACAATGCAAATGTTTGATCCCCATTTTTAGAATTTCCTATGCCCATGAAATCATAGGTCTATTTAAAAAAATAAGTACCTTTGCAAATTGTCTTACTTCAGGTCAAGACTATAAATTAATAAATTGTTGTTTAAGTGTACTAAATAAGACCTTCACAGCTTAAAAGAATTACCAAATTACCTGGAATGTAGCTATATCTTTCTTGAACTAGTCATTTGGAGGACAATTGGGGAGGGGGTGGAATTAATATCCAGATATTTGAGCTTGGTCTACAAGTATTTGACTATTTGGATTATTTTCTTTTACATTCAGGTGGTATTATAGAGCTTCCAGAAATGCCTATTAGATAATGTTTATATGATTTAATGCAAATGGCCACCCTAAAGCACCCCAATGGCCAAAACATACTTTTGATTTTTGCCCCTTTTTTCTACTTTGGACAGAATTCTGGATAACAAGTTAAAACTAATTTTCCATCTGAACCACTTAATTTACGTTCATTTAGAAAGTCAGTATTTTGGCTACTTATGCAATCAGCTGTCTTAAGAATGCCCCCTTTGCTATTTGAAACGTTGGCTAGTAGATAAGGACATTTACTGTGGCCTGCTCAATCTCCTACCACTCACCATTTAGCCATTCTTGCCTGCCCAATGCCTTACCTGTCCCATCTGGGCTTCTGCCTGCCCTGAACCTTCTTTCCTCATCAAATAGGTGAAATGGTCCCATTAACTTCAGGGTTTCTGACCTGAGTTGATGATATCTACCAAGTTCTCAAGGGCTAGAGGACATATGAGTCTCAGTTTAAACGTGTGTGGGTTGAACCAACCCCAAGGGCCTTTCATAGGAGGAGGGTCTTTCTGAAAAGAAAGGCACCAGATTCTGAATTTAGACTTCCTGAGAGAGCTTCCAGACAGGTAACCCTGGCTATCATAGAATTACCTATGCTTCTGTATTACTCTGGAGAAGCTTTCTTCCTGGACTCAATTGATGAATTCAGTGAATTCAATCAAACTTTTAAGAAGATTTAGTTAAAAATAGAGTTGTGGGAGAAGAGTGGACCCTGGAAAGTAATAGCATAAAGTTCTCTGAGGAAAGCATTAGCCCAGCAGCAGATTCAAGATCAAGCATTTACTCTTTAAGTAGAGCTCTTCCTCTTCTAGGGTATTTATTGAAGTCGATTACTGTCCTTACAGAAAGACTTAAGGCAGGCTCAGAATTGGTTTTGGATGACCTTAAACAGACCAGGTTGATGTCATCATTTATTGCTAAGCGGATCTCCTTCCCAGTCATATTGGAAATGTATTGAGGCTATAAAGAAATGACTAATTCCACAGGCTTTGTATATTATAAGGGCAGTGAAGGGTGCTTGGGCAGGCGAGAACTTAGGGATTGCTCATGGCCTACTGGTGTGGAAATTCCCTCCACCAATGCAGATTGCAAATTGTCTATGACTCATTTAATTCAGTAATTTGATGGAGGCCCTGGAAGGTGAAGTGAAAAAGCAAGCATTTATTAAATGCCTACCCTCTGCCAAGTGTACAAACATTTTCTCACTTGTTCCTCATAACAACTCTGGGGGGAAAGCACTATTATTCCCATTTTACAGTTGAAAAATTGAGGCAGACAGAAGTCAAGTGACTTACCCAACAATACCCAGCTAGGAAGTGTGGAAGGTGAGATTTGAACTTAGGTCTTCCTGACTCCGGACCTAGTGCTCTAATCCCTCTACTACCTAGCTGGCTAAGATAGCTAGCCCTTATATAACACTTTAAGGTTTGCAAAGTGTTTTATAAATATTATCTTATTGTAGCCTCATAATAACCCTAGGAGATAAATGCTATTATCCCTATTTTACAAATGAGGAAAGTGAAGCAGACAGAGGTTAAGTGACTTGCCCAAGGTCACACAGTTTGTAACTATCTAAGGCTGGATTTGAACTCAGGTCTTCTGACTCCAGGCCTAGCAATCTATCTGCTGCTATACCTAGCTGCCTTGCCCAAGGTTACCCAACTAGTTATAATCAGAGGCACAATTTGAATCCAAGTCTTCCTGACTCCTGCTCTAACATTCTATCTATAATATCTTCATAACAATCAAATTGTCAGGTTATATAAAATCAATCAATTAACAAGTACTTATTAAGTTCCTACTCTGTGCCAGTCTCTGTGCAATGGTGATACAAAGTCAAAAGCAAAGCAGTTCCTGACCTCAGGGGGCTTATATTCTAACAGGGTAGACAACATGTTTGTATTTATATATGTACGTAGCTTATGGTAGGTACTTAATATTGTTTATTGACTGACTATGTATATACAGCATATACTAAGTATATATTGACCACGTATATACTGACCGTCTATAGTGCCCAGAGGAGAAAACACTAAAAGTTGGGGGAATATGAGAGGGCTCCTGGAGTAGGTAGCACTTAAGCCGAGTCTTGTAGGAAACAGAGATTCCAAGAGGGGGAGGTGAGGCAGAGGAGTGTTCCAGGCAAAGGCACAAAGCAGGAGACAGTGTTGTGTGGGTGGACCTGGGGGGTGGAGAGGGTTGGCCCATAGAGCTGGACCACAACACGTGATCCAACCATGTTAAATGCTTTCATTTCAAGAACTTTGTCCATGACTTTGTTAATTACTGGTCTTCTATTGAAAGAAGTTCGACATATGTATATGTATGTGTGCACCACAGAAACTGGTTATAAATAATAGATTTCCCTTTATATAATAATATACAATAAAAAAATAATGACATTCCCTGTAAGGAATCTCAGGGACCATCTACTTTCATCCCCTCGTTTACAGTTGAGGAAACCTAGGCCTGAGGGAGTTAAAGTGACTTGCCAAGGTCATACAGATGGTATACATTAGCGGTAGCATTCAAATCCATGCCTTCTGACTGGAGGCAGTGCACTATGGTTTTTGCCAGCTGCTTTAGTGGAAAGAGCATGAGACGTGAAGTTAGAAGAACTCAATTCAAATGTAGATTCCAGTGCTTACAGCCCACGTGATCTCAGACAAGCTCTTTCCCCAAACTGGGCTGCAGGTTTTTTTTAGCTGTAAAATAAGGTGACTGGACTACTAAGGTAGAGCTCCAGCTCTGAATGTGTGATCAACCCTACAATCTCTCTCTCTTTTTTGTCCTTGGTTTAGTTTCTGGCTCAGCATTTTTAAGATGTTAGCTCCCTCTATTGGACATTATTTTCAGGCAACAGCACAATTTACTGACTGAAGGAAACCTACAGAAAACAAACAAAAAAAATTATCAACAATTTTCTGACGGAGTTGCACCAAGCAATTTAGTTTAAACAAGTGCAAAAGAGACTTCAGTCAAAAAAAAAGGTTATGTATTCAGAAAGCATCCTAAAGTGTTCTTGCTGTGCTCTGCTCTATACCTTAACTTTTTGTTTGCATTTCAGATTTTTTTTTTTTGAGAGCAGGGAGTTCACCACCAAATATCTGTTATAATCACAAGAGATATTGGGGCAGGTACCAAGTAAACTTGGGGTCTCTGATCTCTGTGTTTTGAGGTGTCCAACCCCAGTATAGAGTGGCTTTTCCATCTGAGACAATAGTTTTATGCTATTTGTTACACTGTCTGCATTGAAGGAAGACCCTAGAATTAAACAGAAGAATTTTCTGTCATCTTTATTTGTTTGTTAAAGAGAGGGAAAAAAGAACTTTACAAAACTCTGCATTAGGTTATTTGGGATGAAGGCAGGAGAATATTATCTTTAACACTGAGTACTTTGATTCAAAGATGGAATCTTTTTTTTCTGAAAGATTTTTGGTTCATCAGTATTTAGACTTTAGGTTACCTGTGCCTTCAATTACTTGTTTTCCTTTATTTGCTTTGCTATTAGTTCAAATGTTTATTAAGTGAGACATTTCAGTGTGGTTGATTAAACAGAATGAAATTGTTAAGGCTTACACACATACTTAAATTGAGTCTTAGTAACTGTATAATTTGGGTTAAAAAACAACTCTCAGTTTACATTGTTAAACAAAAATGTGTCGATTTGTTTGATGAGGGCTGTCGAAAAGACATAAGTAATTACTGTATAGACATGATCTAATGTTATTTAGCCCACCTTAGCCACACTTTCTTTATCTGTAAAATGGCAATACCATCTACCTCATACAGTTGTGTTGAGGTTCAGACAAGCTAACACATGTAAAGTGTTTTGCAAATCTCCAAGCATTATATACATGCTAGCTATTATTATCAATATCATTATTATTAATTTTGAAACTGGTGTTGTCCTAAAGGTAATGAATGCTGTGATGAGGGGTTAACTGTATTCTTTAAATTCTGTTTGTTTCTGGGCAGCTAGGTGGTGCAGTGGATACAGCACCTGCCCTGGATTCAAGAGGACCTGAGTTCAAATGTGATCTCAGACACATAACACTTACTGGCTGTATGACCCTGGGCAAGTCACTTAACCCCATTGCTTAGCCAACAAAAACCAAAACAAAACAAAAAAATTCTGTTTGTTTCTAACAATGCCCAGACAGGATAAGTATCTCATGATTAAAAACTGTTCTCATCAAAACATTCAGTCTAGGTCTCTACAGCCAAAAGGATAATGGCAGACTGGAAAAAATAATCTATACGTGAGACGTTGCTGAGGAGTTAACTCCTAGGGCGTGTGGCAAACACACACACACCACACACACACACACACGCACACTATCTTTCACAATATATAAATCACTACCTCCATTCTTCACTTTGTTTTGGTCATGCAGAACTGACAATGCTCTAACTCCCTTTGCTGTATCTCCAGTCCAATGGAAGAACTGCCTGCTTTTTGCTGACACTGACCAATCTCTGGTGATTCTTCTGTAATCTTCCCCAGTGGAAGTTGGGGGAGTGGGCCAAAGACTGGGTCTACCAGTTTGTTTAGCCTGATTTGTGGCAGCTGTATCCTTGAGCACTCTGAGGATTTAGCCTTTGTCCTTGGTAGAGTTGTTAAGTATTGTAAGTGATTAATACATGTTTATTGATTGATTGATTCAGCCAGAGCAGAGCTGTTACGTGACAACAGATTAACTGACCTCTCCCCCCAGAACCTTCTCAATCAGTCAACAAACCAATAAGCATTTATTAGTGTTCTATGTTCTAGGCACTGTACTAAGTTACAGGCACGTAAATACAAAGAATGAAACAATTCTTGCTCTCAAGGAACTTACTTTTTAGAATACCTCTTGCCCACAGTAATTTATTTTCACTCTCAATTTCTTCGTCTTACAAGGGAGTCAATCTAAGCACTGCTAGTCGGTGAAAGCTAGTACTTTGGATTTGGAAAATAATGGGACCACAGTGGTCTGCATAAAAAAAAAATTGACCTGAATTATTGACTTTGCTCTGTTTTATTTTTATTTTAGTTTCCCTTGCTACAACAGAACATTCAAGTTCTCATTGCTGTATTGGACATGAGCACTATTATCATGAATCGCCTACTGCACTATAGGAGAATACTCTATGACCAATGGGTTGCATTGGAAATCTTGGTACCTTGTCCTTGTCCAGCATAGCTCATGAGATAGTTCCTCCAGATGTAATTATAGCTTAGCTTGTGAACCACCAGGCAGGGCAAGTTGCCAAGGAAACAGGAAAAATTCCTTAACAGGAAAAAATTCCTTCAATCTTGAGAGGCTGAAATATAATGGCTACCACTGCAACAATGGCAAAGGCCCCCTCTTTCCCTCTTCTTTCTCTCTACCTATCTTTATCATTCTTTAAAATCTATCTCAAAACTGAGCAGAAGAAACCAAACTTGACTAGAAACTATGGGTGGTGGTTGGTGGTATTAGGGGGACAGTTTTTGGTAGAAGACTAGGACAATGAGGTCTTAACCACACCGGTGTCTTCTCACTGTCTATTCCACTCTTACAGAAGAATAGATAGAGAATCTCCTGGGTTGTCTTAACAGGGATCTCCAAACTGTTTCCCCAGCTCTCTTCATCTCTTTACGCTTCTCTAGCATCATAAAACATTTTCCTGGTATCTTCTGAAAACACTAACTGAATCTTCACTATCAATCAAAAGCATTTATTAAGAGCCTGCTATGATCCAGGCACTGTGTTAGCTGCTGGGTATACAGATACAAAAAAATGAAACAATTCTTACTTTCATGACTCTTCTCTCAGAGGGAGATAATATGTACACATATAACTATTTACCAAATAAATGCATGGTAATTAAATACAGAGTACTTAGGGAGAGAGGTCACTGGAAGCTGGAAAGGATCAGGAAGGTCTCTGTGGAGAAGGTGGTATTTGAGCTACGCCTTTAAGGAAGGACAGGAATCCGTGATGTGGAGGTAAGGAAGGAATTCATTCCAATATAGGTTACAGACAGTGCAAGGTCTTGGAGATGGGAAATAGAATGCTGTATCTGAGGAAGAGAGAGAGCTAATTTGGCTGGGCCATAAAATACAGGAAGGAAGTAATGTATAATAAGTCTGAAAAGATGTGTCGGGGCTGGGCTGTGAAGTGCCAAACAGAGGAGTTTAAATTTTATCTCTGAGGCAATAGGAAGCCACTGGAGTTTATTGAGTAGGGGAGTAGCATGGTCAGAGTTGGGCTTAAGGAAAATCACTTTGACAGCTGTGTAAAAGATGGAAAGTATATGTATGAATCAGTTTCTATTTGTAAGATTATTCCTATTTGTGAAAGAGCATTTCCTAATAATAAAAATTTTCTATATTTTCTTCTATCTTCTCAGGTCTTCAAGTATGTTCCATATAATGAAACATAGTCACTATATTTCTAGATTTGGAAGCAAACTTGGGTTACAGTGCATTGGAATGCATGAAAATGGTGTCATATTTAATAACAACCCAGATCTCTGGAAAGTTATTCGACCTTTCTTTACAAAAGGTAATCAAGTTATTCTGGGCTTACATCCTTACTTTCTTTTTTCCCCTCTGTCTGTGAATTTTGATAATAACTCAATCCTGTTATTTTGTGGACTGAGGTGCCAATCTGAATTTTAGTCTTCCCTTTGGATGAGAACGGCTCCCTCATGAGACAGAAGAAGAGAACGTCTCTGCATGTTTGGTTAGTTTAATCTAGAATTGTTTGTCCCTAAAAAGTTTTCTCTATCCAATGCCAAACAACAGGCTTGATTGAACTGATCAGATATTTTGAAAGTGATATATTCACGGATGACAGATCATAGAGTTAATAGAGCTAAGAGACATTATAGGTAATAAAATCTAACTTTCTCATATTACGTATGACAAAACTGAGAAGCAAATTGGTTAAGAGATATGTCCTTTCTTGGTTCAAATCCTGCTTCTGAGACGTCTTGGTTGCTGTGGTTCTAGACACTGATCCTCTCAATGTCCCAGGCAAATGTCTAAGACTATAAGTTATAAAGGTGTTCCTGTGCCCTGGGAGGGGAAATTCCTTACCAAGAGCTCACAATATCTGTGAAATCACACTGTCCCTTCCTTGCAAAAACCTCAACCGTGGCGCAGAGTCAGCACCTGAGCCCAGGCCTAGGAACTCCCAATCCAGAGCTCATGCCACTGGGCCACATGAGGTTTCAGAGTAAACTGAGATGTTCTGAGTGTACATTACTAACCTTTGAGGTAAATATTGAAGAAGATAGGTATGCTTTGGTATAACTCATTCTTCAATGCCTCTGTCCATTGTTCTAGATGGACCATGGATCTGGGCTTGTATGGTTATTTTCACATTCAGATGTTGTATAGGTGTAATTGGAGTGTACTGTGCCAAAAAGCTAACTAAAACTATATAGCAGATGAGACCCCATTTGCATGGCTTCTAGAATAGGAGAAAAGTACACAAGTGTCAGACAAGCCCTCACCCAGATGTTCATCCACATGGCTATTGAATTGTAAAACTACTACAGCTATCCTGAAGACAGCCCTGCCTTCTCACAGACCTGACACATGTTGGGGAAAATTAATCTGCGGTGGCTAAGTAAATGCACAGACTATGGGGGGAAAGGGCATATTTCCTGTACTTTCCTTATGAGTACTTATGATAATTACCCCCTCCCCCTGTATCAGGATCATCCAAGTCAAAAAGGAACAAAGGATCATAGACTTAGAGCTGTAAGGGCTATTAGAAGTTGCCTAGTCCAATGCCTTCATGTTCAGGATGAGGAAACTGAGGCCCAGAAAATTTAAGTGGTTTGCCTGAAGTCATATCTATAATAAGTGATAGCTGGGATTTTCAAACCCAAGTCTCTGATTCCAAATTCAATGCTCTTTACTCAGACTTATTAAGAGCAGTTAGCCTTCACCAACAACTTTCCTGGCACTAAAGAGGTAATAGGATTTTCTTAATTATCAGGCTCCCTTTGACATTTCTTCCTTCTCTACAAGTAGAATCCTAAGAGATGCATAGACTGTAACTAGTCCACAAAACTGGACCCCACCTAACTGTCTGTGAGATCAAGTGAATTCACATTGCCTATTGAAATTAAACTGATGCATTGGTGTTTTTAAGTGATCGCCAAGGGTTAGCTGAATTTCTTGGTGAAACTATCTTTCATCCCCCAAGGCAACAGTTTCATGTTTATTCTCTGCCCCAGCAGAACATTCATTTGTGGCAGTTTGGTGAACTATGAGCTGTCTGGCTACATCTCCTGAAGTGATAGTGAAGTGAAGCTGAAGAAGTTCAGCAATTCAGAAAACTGGGCTAACATTCTTGCTTCTGAGGAATTTTTCCCTTGGAATATCCTAGACTCTGGATATGTATCTACATTGATAGAATGCACCATTTCCTTGCTCCACTCTGAACTTCCTTTTGTCTGTGTATCTAGCCTTTTGGAGCAAATGTTAAGCATTCCCCTTAAAGCCATGTCTGCCTTTGTGAGACAAAAGTTTGTCTTATACAGTATTTCAATCTCTTTAACACACAGGCAAAAACCCAGAGTGTTAGATGTGCTCAAGCCATTGAGTAACTGGGAGTCTTTAGTTCTACTTCTGGACTGTGGACTTCACCTTAATGAATTATTTTGATTTTAATCCTGGTTTACTGACTGTTTTATATATATATATATGTGCTTTTTAGCTTTGTCTGGGCCAGGCCTTGTGCGCATGGTGGCTGTTTGTGTTAACTCAACTATAATTCATCTGGACAAACTGGAGGATGTCACCAATGAATTGGGTTATGTCAATGTGCTGAACCTCATGAGACGCATTATGTTGGATACCTCCAATGTCCTCTTCTTGGGGATCCCTCTGGATGGTACTGAAAATCTTGTTCTTGTCATGTTATACTTTGTCCTTTTATTGATGAGAGAGCCAGCCAGATTCTTCCCTTTGCAAGGAGAAAGGAGAGATAGGAGAAGACACCTGTACTCATGTTCTGTTTATGAATTTGCCCTTGACTATATATTTAACTAATCTTATGGGTTTTATTTTTCCGAGTGTGTATGTTTTGCTTCCCATATGACTGTGAGTTCTTTTAGGATAGGAACTATGTCTTCTATTTATTTTATATTTCTATTCAGGTCTGGAATATTGCTCTGCATGTAGTAGAAGTTCAATTCGTGTAGTTAACAAAATGCTACTATTTTAGCCGAAGGCTAAAAACAAAAAAATGAGTTCAGTTTGTTAGTTGAAACAGCCTGCTGCCAACCAAGGTGAACTCTTATATACCTCCAACCATTATTTTGGAGTTGTATATGTGGAAATACCTACTCCCCATCCTCCTCTAAAGTATAGAAAAACTATATTTTTATGATATGAAACGGAGAGTAGCTTACATTTATATAGCAAATGACATTTTAGCAAAACCAAAAAACCTGCAGCAATCAGGTTGCAATTATAGAAGCAGGGGCCAGAATGATGAGGATGATAATCTCACTGTGCTCTGCCCTTTTGTACCACATGCAAACCATTGTGTCCAGTGTATGACATCACATTTTAGAAAGGATATTGAGAAGCCAGAGCACGTGCATACATACAAGTCGCCAAAATGGTATGGAGGTTCAAGCCTCTCTCACAAGAGGATCATTTGAAGGAACTGGGGATGTTGAGCTTGGGAGCGAGAAGAAAGGGAAGAGAAAGGATGATCATTATTTTAAAAGATTTGAAGAGTTCTAACATAGAAAAGGAATTATACTTGCTCTGCTTTGCACCAGAGGTCAGATCTAGAACCAATGAAATTTACAGGGAAGCAGATTCCAACTAAATATGACTAAAAGCTTCTTAGTAATTAGAGCTGATCCTGTATGGAAAGAGCTGTCTCAGATTCCCTCTCACTGGAGACCTTCAGAGCAGAGCCAGATGGCTACCTGCTAACCATGTTCCAGAAGGGATTGTCCTGGCCTAGATGACTGTCCAACTGTGAGAGTCTGAATTCTATATGCCACTCTCCCATCCAAACCTCCCTTTGCCTATGCTATATAGAAATTACCTAATTCAGAATAGCCTTAGATCTCATAAGTATCTGATAATTAATTCAGATAAAAGCTCCATTTTGTAGAGGATATTTAAAAGGAAATGAAGCATTGTCAGTTATCTCATGAATGTAGGAAGCCTAAATAATGCCAGACAGATTATTTACATTCCCTTGCCTTCTCAGGTGATTCACCAAATAATCAATTCCACATTTCAGTCTGTGTTGATGAGGCCTGGTGTAATTTGAGAAAAATATGGTTTTTCTCCACATGCTCTTGTGTAATTTGGGCTGTGCAGATCTGGCTACCTTGTGGTTGTGTTTACCCAAAAGCATCAAGTGAAGTGAGGATTTTGCAGTTCTATAACAGCAAAAGGAATAGTGGTTCTTTGCTCTTCCTATTCTTAGGTACCATTCCTGGGACCTTGCCTCCTACAACTACTGATTTCCACTCTTCTCCTAGAGAATAGCATGGGTTTGAATTGTGTGGCCATGGAGGCTTGTCCTATGGTATGTGTGAGGCTCTGGCCTGTGTCAACAAAACCCAGAATGGAGGAGCTGAGAATTACCTAGCTCATTTGGCCAATGCAGAGACGTAGATAGGCGAACTGAATAATTGAAAGCCTGAATCATGCCGTGTTTCTCACTTGGCTAAAACTCCCATTGAAATTGATATTGTTTTGCCCAACAGAGAACCACAGATAGCTAAGAGCCTACTATTTGGGACTGTTTGGGGAATATGCTCTGTTCAAAGTAGCCTTCTTTGACTCACGTATAAACTGGTTTCTCGTTCTTATTTTCAGAAAATGCCATTGTGATCAAAATACAGAGCTATTTTGATGCTTGGCAAGCTCTCCTTCTGAAACCAGACATCTTCTTTAAAATATCTTGGCTATACAAGAAGTATGAAAAGTCTGTGTAAGTAACACTAACTTTGCAAATTTGAGAGGTTAGATTTCTTCCCTTCTAACTTTGCTTTGTTTGCCTTTCCAATAAGTTTTCTCTTATAAATGGCACATTTGCGAGCTATGTTATGAGTAGGTTATGTCATTTTATCCACCTTAGATCAGAGCACAACGCCAAGGACAAATGTTCCTGATGGGTGTTTTTGATGTAGAACTATTTCTGTGATTTGTGTGCTCTGGAGTTTGGGGCTGGAACACTGTTGTTTTGCTGGACAGAAAGGTTGTCTCATCCCATTTCTATCATTTAATAATAACCTTTTTTTTCCTCTAAAGCAAGGTTCATAACCTTTTTTGTCATGGACTCCTTTTGCAGTCTGCTGAAGCCTATGGATCCCTTGCCAGAATAAAAAATAAAATACATAGGATTAAAAAGGAAACCAATTATATTGAAATAAAGTCATCAAAATATAAAAAAAAAACCCAAATCATAAACATCCCAATATGTAGGGGCCTACAACCCCTGTGCTCCACTACCCCTTTTTTAACTCTCAAAAATGGAGCCACTGAGTCAGGGTACTTCAGAATTAATTTTCATTAATCCAACTTATAGGGATTTGTAATATTCTTTAAGGCTGAAATAGTTCAAGTTAAAAGAAAATTATTGAAATTAGAAACAAAACTGTGTGGCTCTTTAGCTATGAAGGGAATATTGTATGTGTGTTTTGGTATCTTTTGTCAGGACTTGAAAATATCAATAAATAGAACATATACAGTTAGCAGTTTTGATCACTTACACTGGCCTGGCCCATTGGGAAGTTGAGCAGTTACAAATCACAGGCTATCTGAGCATACTCTGATGAGAGAAAAAGTGCGAACTCATGATTAATTGAAAATTGAAGGTTGAAGGAACATATAGGTAGGAAGGAAGCAAGCAAATATTGTTGTACCTTACTACGTGTCAGGCACTGTGCTAAGTACTTCACAAATGTTATCTCATTTGTCTCTCACAACAACCCTGTAAGGTAGGTGCTGTCATTATTCCCATTTTACAGATGAGGAAACTGAGGCAAGCAGAGGTTAAATGACTTACCCAGGGTCACACAGCTAGTAGGCTGGTTTTGAACTCAGGTTTTCCTGATTCTAGGCATAGCACTCTATCCATTGTGCCTCCTAGGTGCCTCATATAGAGATAAACCAAAATGGTATATGAGAAAAATAATTACTGTTTTGTTTTGGGAGGATTTACATTTTAATATGGAATCTTTATTGGCATGGGATTTACAGTATTCCCAACAAAAGAATGTGATAGCTATATTAGGAGAAATTGAGAAGCTGCCTGTTTTCTCCATTTTACTCCCAATTTCATGTGGGAAATCAACAATATTCCATTATCAGACCAAAGGAACCCACAAGCCTACAAAATGTCTTCTTAATTTTTTTACTGTTTCATGCCCTTCATTAGGAATAATATGTAACTATTCCTATATGCAGTATTCTCTTCAGCAGAATATATACGAACATTGGAGCAATAAAGAAAAGATGAGTATGACTCCTTTAAAAGGATGACATGCAATTTTATGAAACATTCCATATTCTTAAGTTCATAATAAAAAAGAAAATTCCTAAATTAAAAAAAGGTCTCTTAGATATGTAAAGAAAAACAGAGATAGATGCAGACACACAGAATCTTTCTCCTGAGCTCCAGTCTTGAATCACTAGTTTCCTATTAAACATTTCAAACTAGATGTCCTATAAGCATCTTAAACTCTACATGTCCAAAGCAGAACTCATTATCTGTTCTCCCCCTTCCCCCCTAGTCTGTATATCTTCCTAACTTCCCCCTTTTTGTCAGGAGCACTACTCTCCTTCTAGTCCCCTAAGCTCTCAACCTTGTTGTATTGTCCTTGACTTTTCACTGTAACTCATCACATGTATCCAGACAGTTGCCAAATCTTATCTTTTCTGATTCTATAACATCTCCTACAAATGACCTCCTCTCCACTCACATGGTGCTCCAGTTCAAGTTCCAAAAACCTCTTGTTGACTATTATGGTAGCCTCCTAATTGTTCTATTCGCCTCAGTCCTCTCCCCACCCCATTCTATACTCCATTCAGCTGCCAAAGTGATTTCCCTAAAGTGCAGGTTGGACCATGTTGCTTTCCTAATTAATCTTCTCTATTTGCACCCTATTACCTCTAGGATCAAATGTTAACTACTTTGCTCCTTCACAATATGGTCCCATCCTACCCTTTTAGCCATATTATGTCTGCATTAGTCTTCTTCACAAACATTGCAGTCCGCCCAGATTGCAGTGGCCTTCTTTACTGCTTCTCAGTCATAGAACTCCATGACCTTTTCCAGGCCTTTGTACTGGTTATCCTACCTGAAATGTCCCTTCTCTCCTTTGCCTCCTCAAATCCCTAACTTCCTTCAAGGCGCAGCACGAGGGCTACTTTCTAACTGAAGTCTTTCCTGATCACCCCAAATGCTAATGCCTTCCAAAAAATAACTTGTATATTTTGTACTTATCACATTTATGTATGTGTTATCTCTCCTCAGTAGATTACAAAACCCTTGAAGGCAAGACTTTTGTCTTTCTATCCCCAACACCTGATTTATAAGTATGATTTACCCAAAGATGGTACATCCTGAAGGTAGATAGACAGATCCAGAAAGGATCCAGAAAGGATATTACATATAATTTAGTGCAACATATGCATTTTACAGATGACAAAACTAAGGCCAAGAGAAGTTACAGGACCTACCCAAAGAGATATATTTATTTCATTAGTGGCAAAAATAAGACTAGTACTTAGGTCTCTTAAATCTTGATCTACTCCTCATTCTACTATATCACCATGCATATATACATATACAGACACACGTGTGTACATGTATAGCATATATAATGTATGTCCATATATACACACATAAATATGTATGTATTGTATATGTATATGTCGCAGCTAGAGGCTCAGTGGATAGAGTGCTGGGCCTGGAGTCAGGAAGACTTGAGTTTAAATATGGCCTCCAATACTTAGTAGCCATGTGACCCTGGGCAAGACACTTGACCTCTATTTGCTTTAGTCTCCTGGAGAAGGAAAGGACAAACCACTCTAGCATCTTTGCCTAGAAAATCCCATTGTCAGCAGAGGCCATGGGGTCACAAAGAGTGGGACACAATTGAACAACAACAATGAATCTCTGACTCTAGGGTCAGTGTTTTTGAGAAGGAAGTGGATATTGTGCTGGTCCAGGAGTCAGGAAGACTCATCTTCCTGAGTTTAAATCTGGCCTCAGACACTTACTGGTTGTGTGATCCTGGAAGAGTCACTTAACCCTGTTTGCCTCAGTTTCCTCATCTGTAAAATAAGCTGGAGAAGGAAATGGCAAACCACTCCAGTATCTTTGCCAAGAAAATCCCAAATGGGGTCACAAAGAGTCAGACAGGATTGAAAAATGACTGAACAACAACAAATTATGTATGTGTGTATTTCTAAACCTCTGTTATCAGTAATTTCATCATTATGAGTACTCACTCCTCCAACATAGACCCAACCCCCCCATGGACTACTACTAGAGAGCCTTCAGGAGTGGCCGTGGATGAAAAATTAGTCACCCACCATCTAATCTGGTGAAGAGTCTTTCTGAATTCAGCTAAGGTGCTGTTCTTATAATAGATATACAGTCTGTCACCTGGCCTTCACTTTAAACCTTTCCAAAATGTGCTCCACTAGTGTAGCCATTGAGAATCCAGAGCCACTTCCATATACAGCATATATGCAAGTATATGTATTTGTAGGATCTGTGTTGGTGGGAGGAAGAGATGTAGCTATACACACATGAATAGACTTATATGAACATTATATTTGCCTGTCCTGTATATATGTATATTTATATAGTGTACATATGTGTTGTATATAAGTATTTATATACACATAATATACACATGTATATTATGCACATCTGCATATACATACCCATATACATCAGTAGCCTCTTGTTGCTCTAGGCCAGAAGTGTTTCAGCTTAGTGGGTAAAACACTCCCAAGAAAATCTGAAACCAGATTACAATGGGAAATACAATGGCTCATTTCTATTCTAGTTTGATAGCGCTGCTTTAGGGAATTCTCTAAGACTATATGTATGCAAATATATAAACTTACATACATGTTATATATGTATGTGTATGTCAGCTTCATGAGTGATAGATCATAGTAGTCATATACATATGTACAAACATATATGTGTTAATATTCAGGGTGTCTCAAAAGTCTTAGTGAAGTTTTAAGCTATTAAAGTTCCACTAAGACATTTGGGACACTTTGTATATAGCTTTAGCATATAAAAGTGTCAATTGACCCTGACTCACTGTTGTGAAATACAAAATATATGGAATTCAAATATACTTATAAAATTTCAGTTTCATTTATTTATTGGCACAAATGGTTTTAATCAAGATTGAACACCTTATTTAAACAAATGGCAGATATGTTGCCTAGAACTGAGATGAACGAGGGTAGATTAATTTTGTTTATTTTTATTTCAGCAAGGATTTGAAGGATGCCCTAGAAATTTTAATAGAGGAAAAAAGACACAGACTTTCCACAGATGATAAACTGGAAGATTGTATGGATTTTGCTTCACAATTGATTTTTGCCCAGGTACAGTCAACAGTTTAGCATAGAAACAGGCTTTTATGCTTGTTTGTATTACTTGTGTCTACTTAGTCAAAGTGAAATGATGGGTAGAATAGTTATCCTACAAGTTCATTAGAGGAAAGCTGATGATCTACATAAAATTCAAGCTAAAGTAGTTTTTTCCTCAATGGATTGTTTTTTAGTCTAAATTATCCAGGTAACTATATGAGCCCTATATTTTGGTAAACAATAACCTTAAGATGATGACTAATTTTCTTTGTAGAATATATATGTGGATAGAGAAATATATGTCTATATATGTATAAACACATATGTTTGAATATGTACATATATATGCACATATATCCCTAAACAAGCAGATAGTTATGAACATTAGATGTGGTCTTATTGGAAGTTCTTAACCATATACTAGTGTCTTCTCAAATCAAATTTAAAAATGCATTGTCTCTTAGCTGGTACAAGTCACTATGCTTCTATAATAAAGTCATGAAGGCACACCTAGTGCAAATTTGACTTAAACCCATTCAATAACTGGGCTGAAAAATTCTTTGGTTGGTTCTTCAGAATATCTTTTTCTAAGCAAATATTGGTCTCAATTAACAGTTTGGATAATTTTCACTACTGCAGTCTAATGGCTATATGACAGAATTTGGCTCTATTGGCTAGGGAAAAAATGAAAATCTGATTGTCTATTAAGTTAACCAGCAAGGTTTAATGGCAAGATGAAGGTGTGAAAACCTGTCATAGAGAAGTAGGGTTTCAATGGTGGTCATGAGAATGTTTAAAATAAGACATTGTTGAAATTTTGTCCCATCATCAGCATCTGTGAGTGCATAGCTCTCCTCTGAGGATATGTAATACTATATCTTGGACTGACTTGGCTTTGGGGATAAGAAGTTACTTGTGGACAGAACAAAACTGGGGAGCATGCTCCAGAAACCAAGTAAATATAGAGCATTAAGGACCATAATCCTGTTTCCTCCGACCTAATCTCCGTTGGCCAAACTCTTTTTTAGGGCTCTACCTAACATTCAGAGTCCCAAATATTTAACAGAGACTTGGGGCATCCATGCTGGCTGGAGGGTCCATTCTATAATTCCCTCAATCTTCATTAAATATGTACTAACTAGATCAGTACTTTCATAATAGTTTGTCCCACTAGGGGCTTGTGAGGCTAGAATTAGCCATATCTGAGATCAACATAAAAGCCAAAGCATTCGTAATGAGATCTAAATATATAGGTAGAGCCGTATTTTTAGTATTATCCTGGGAAGAGAGAGGAGAGGAGTTTGGTTAAAGAAAGATTAAAAGAGAAGGGTGACAATTTAAAGAAGTATCTTTTATGGAATAATAGAAGTCTATCTACTAAGAAAAAACTGAGTTCAAGCTTTTTATTTCTTTTAAATATTTATTTCTTTTAAAATTTTGGAGATGAAGGAACTTTTGATTTGGACTGACATCCAAGGTTATGAAGCTGTAGCTAGCTATACAATGCCTCAAAAACTGGTCGAAAAGTGAACATTTCATTTAACCAGCTGTGTCTTCTTCCCTATGCCAAACATTTGATTGGACTGCTTCACATCGAATTGGCTGGTGATGTGAATTGGCCCAACTGACTGAATACAATCTGACACCAGACTAGATGTATGATAAATCCATAGAGGGCAAACTTTCCTAGTTTTTGCATGAGTGTGTGCCTGTGTGTGTGCCTGTGAGTGTGACTGCATGCATGTGTGTGTGTGTGTGTGTGGGTGCATGCGTGGAATATGTTTAACAGGATCATAAATCTAGAGGGGGAGGGGCCTCAGAGGCTATCTAGACCAATACCTTCATTTTACAGATGAAGAAACTGAGACCTAGAGAGGTTAGGTGACTTGATTTAGGTTATCACACAGGTAATAATGCAATAGAAGCAAGGTCAGAACTCAAGTAGTTTATCTCTAGAACCACTGTGTTTTTCACTCATATTAGACGTCCAAAAATGTTGCATTCAGTAGTCTGGTTACCTTCTAGTTACCCATAAAAGCCAAGCTTTGGGGTATACAACAATTGTTAACTACAGCCCTGTTCCCAACCACTGTCAAGACATGTTTTGTACTGGGAGCTTAAAAGCCTTCAGAGAAAAGTCCCATACCCTCTGGGCCTGGTCACCTTGGCAATGCTATACATCCTCACTTTATTCCATGCAATAGAATGTCCCTATCCCCCGCTGTGAGCACCTGTGTACACTCGGGTGTGCACATGCACACACACACACACACACACACACACACACACACACACACACATACCCCTTACATTTCAGAATTGAAGATATGATTATGTTATTACCATACCAAACAAAAGAAAGCCAAACCCTTAAGGTAGACATTCAGATATCTAAATAACACCAAGTAGTCAGGTATTTGGAAGTAATGGGCTGGGTGGCTGAATTTTTCGGTTTGCATCTAAATCTTCAGCTTCCTGTGGATATTTATTACTATTTAATTACAATGAAAATATGGATTTCCTTGTTTTTTAAACCATTCCCAAATACTTCACAGATTCTTGTTCTGAATATTAAACCTCACTTTACTTTCCTCAGCACTTTGATTTTTACTGTCATTTTTTTTAAACCTCTTTGCATTTTCCAGGGGCGTGGAGACTTGACAGGTGAGAATGTGAACCAATGCATTCTGGAAATGTTGATCGCTGCCCCTGACACTCTGTCTGTCACTGTGTACTTCATGCTACTGTTGATTGCAAAGCATCCAAAGGTTGAAGAAGCAGTAATGAATGAAATCCAGACAGTTATTGGTAAGGACTATAAGAAAAAAGCCTCAGTTAAATCAGTGGTGCTCCAAAACAGTTTGGTCAGAGAGTTCCCTTCTTATGGCTGAAAAACTTGAAGTTAAACACAAAATTTAAATGACTTGTCCAGAGAGCAAAATAATAAAACGATCTTTTTGCCACTTGACGATTAAACCATTTAGGGTTTATCTCAGGATACTGAAACTTAAGTTTTTTTCACCAGGTAGAATAAAATTATGTGAATACTAAAAAGCACCCATATTGGCATTACCAACTGTAAAGTGGGTGGCATGTAAAACCATGAAGGCCAAATGTCCACAAGATTTAAGAATAAGATAGGCACCTGTATCTTTGATGGTTTACATTCTTCTAATGGAGCCAAGTGGCCCCTGGAATCTAGGTTTTAGATACAATGCATTGGTAATACAAACTTTTAAAATTATTCAACGAAACCCTTCAAAAACTGATCTTTGTAACTGTGATAGCTCAAGTGCCTATATTATAATGAAGATAACATTAACTTCCTTTATTCTTTTTGTAATATTCCTACAGGTGAGAGAGACATTAAGTTTGGTGATGTGCAAAAATTAAAAGTGGTTGAAAGTTTCATTTATGAGAGCCTGAGATACCAACCTGTTGTGGACTTGGTCATGCGCAAGGCTTTGCAAGATGATGTGATTGATGGTTATCCAGTGAAAAGGGGAACTAACATTATCTTGAATATTGGAAGGATGCATAGACTTGAGTTTTTCCCCAAACCGAATGAATTTACTCTTGAAAACTTTGCAAAGAATGTAAGATATCTGTCTTGGGCATTTAAGAAATTAAACTATACCTCTCCTTTAAGTGTAAAATTGAAAAAAAATTAAAATGCTGAATATTCTGAGTAGATATTTTTACACCAAACAAAAGTCACCCTTTTTGACTCCCACTTTCCTCACAAGAAATGCACATTTTCCCTTCTTTGGAGTAGAGTCTAATTTGCCCTATTCTTACAGCCCACCCCAAACCAGCAAACTTTTCATACATTAGGGAAGGGAAGGGGGAATAGGGGAGTGAGGAAGAGGAAGAGAACAAGAATTTGTTAAGCCCCTGCTATATGTCAGATATATGTTGAGTACTTTACACATATCTCATTTGATCCTCACACAAATCCTGGGAGGTAGGTACTATTATTATCCCTATTTTACAGTTGAAGAAACTGAGACAGACAAAAGTTAAGTGACTTGCCCAAGGTCACACAGCTAGTAAATATCCGAGACCTGGTTTGAACTCAGTTCTTCCTGATGCCAGGCCCAGTGCTCTCTACCATGGTACCACCTAGGCAATGTGGTACTATGTAAAGAGAATTGGGGTGAATGAAAGAGACCTTGGTTTATATCTTAGCCCTGTTGCTTATTAATAACCCCTAACCCACCCCCATGACTCTGGACAAGTCATTTAGCTTCTCTGAGGCTCAGTTTCATTTTCTGTAAAAGTGAGATTAAACTAGATCTGAGGTGTCAAATTCATTGCCCTGAGAAGCTCCTAAGTGTTGCTGGAATCAGATTAAAAAGGTAATTGGGAAACATTTAACAAAATAAATAAAAATACAATATGACATAGATAATCTGTTTCTATTTGAGTTTGACACCATTAGACTGAGATGACCTCAAAGGTCCCTTCTAGCTCTCTATATGATCCTCTGATGTATGAGTACAAATGGTTAAACAGTAAAAAATTCCAATCAATGTGTTGTTCTGTTTATACTATGTCAAACAAGTGTTTTGACTATCTTTTTATCAAGAATTAATTGACTGACTCCACTTACTAGGTGTATGACTAGTCATTAAACCTCTCCAGATCTTAGTTTCTTGCCTCTTTTGTAAAATGAAACTGATGTAGTAGATAATATTCAAGTTCCAATGTAGGCCAAAAATCCAATGATTCTATGAATTAAATGATTATTTTGGTATTATGCAGAAATAATTAGATCTTAGTAAAAATAAGGCATATGACTAAATATAGACTTATGTGTTCATTTGTGTCCAATGGGACAAAAAGTTTTGGGCCATTTGATTCATCATGAGGATGGCCCTAGGAGTAGCAGGTTCTTCTTATGTAAATAAATCGTGCTGTTTGGTAAAGGCCAAATTTTTTCATCCCATCTAAATTTATTTGCATAGATACTGATTCAGTTATTTCATGTTTCAGGCAAAAGAATGGCCTTAACTCAAGTTATTTAGGCAATGAGATTACTTATACCTCGTATGTAGAATATAGACTTTGCCAATATACCATCCATCCAGATAATCAAAGTAAAAACATTTGGGGTTTGAATTAATTGGATTCTGTTTTATGAACAATTGATTTCTAAACAATCCCAATCATCTGGATAAAAAAAATGAGGAAAATCAGTTATTTCCAAATATTTCAAGGCTTGGCATCATGTAGATCAAAATTCTACATATTTGATATTTCAAAAATTATCCAGCAGTCTTGTGTCTCATCGAAATATTTTCTGTCTTAGTGATTTGGAAATTGGTAGTGGATCTGAGACATCTTCCATCTTGTTGCTATAAACTTGCCATATTTGTTAACATTAGTTGTTAGGAAACTGTCTATGCTGTTTTACTTTAAAATATATTCATTTGAAAAAAATGCAGGAGCCATCCAATATTGAAACTGTATTAGATAAATCAAACTGAACTGGAAAAACTTTTTCAGCTTGATTCATTGTAATTAATCTACTAGAAAAGAACTATATGGTTAGATGAGCAGAACCCTGACTCAGTGGTCTTGACACTTACTTGCTTGCTGTTAAGATAACCCTTAACAAATCAGACCAACCCAATTTTTTTAGTGTTAGATAAATGCCATTTGCCTTTCACATACTTGTCTAATTGTCTGTTTGTTCTCACAGGTTCCTCATCGTTATTTTCAACCATTTGGTTTTGGCCCCCGTGGTTGTGCAGGAAAATATATTGCCATGGTAATGATGAAAGTCATCCTTGTTACAGTTCTGAGGAGGTTCCACGTGCAGACATTGACAGGATGTTGTCTTGAACGCATTCAGAAAAAAAATGACTTGTCTTTGCATCCAGATGAGACTAGGGACTTTCTGGAAATGATTTTTATTCCAAGAAATTCAGAAAAATGCCAAGAATAATAAAGATGATTATTCAGCATCTTCTTGAAAACATTCCTCATCTGTAGTTCATCTGACAAACATCCACCCTTCCCAGGTAGTATCATTCTTATGATGAATATTTAGCTGCCTATAATGTTTTGCAGGCCCAGGACTTACAGATTGTTAGCAAACTGGAATTCTGTCATCTTCAAACCTATAACAGACTATGGGAAAAAGACATTTTTAGTTTGAGATAAAAAATGTTAACAGAGAAAAATGGTAGCCTTTTTAAAGGACCCAATTACACAGATGTGCTTTGGGAAGGATAGGCCCCCCAGTAAATCACAGTTCTGAATTGTTATGGGATCTCTGGTGACCTATCTTGAAGAGCATTTGAATGGCTATTGCAGATATTATTTAAGGCTGCATGTACCCAAGCAGAATGAATTGGAGAACTCAAGCAACTATCTAGGTGATATGAGCAAAAGAAATCTGTTATGGATAAAAAAAGGATTTGGGTATGTCATCCAGCTTTTCCTGCGCAGATTAAATTGAACAGGTAAATGATTAAAAATGCAGCATTTGACTTTGTGTGCATACAACCACAAACTATACACAGTTAACTCTTGGTTATCTACTCTAGAAGGTCAGTCAACTATGGGGGGGGGGGAGAAATCACATGTTACATTCCAAAGTTGAATATGAAAACTTTTAAAATTATCTAAATCTTATGACAGTAGCATAGGTAATGGAGAGTTGACTATGAAATATTAAAATTGTGACTATATTGAAATCACTTAACATATGTCTACACACTCATTCCTTGAGGTTAGAGGGGAGACAGGATAAATGAATTCTAATTCTTCTATGCCTTGACTCTTGAGTTGGTACAAACCATTCCAGAATCTATCTCCATCCGTCTTCCTCTTCTACAATCATTTATCCACCTTTTCCTCATGCCTCACTTTCTTCTTAGCTTCATCCCCCTCTCTCCACATCCTCCAAACCCAAGGTGGCAAATGAATGAGGAGCAGAGTTGAAGCGGAAGCCATTCCAGTATTTTTGTTTTCCTACCTCAGGTCTTCTACACATCGAAGAATGAAGTCGAGATTTGGCAGTTACATGGTTTATTTCGCCACTGTCTATCCATGAACAAGATTTGTGCTTGGAATGTGTAGAATGGTTGTCCCCAGTAATCAAACTGAGTAGTTACTAAAGATCCACTTGAATTCCTACCCTGCAGACATTGTGGCTACAGCTAAATAATACCAAACATACATGTAAAACTGAAAATTTCATGGTTATCTAGACGTTTGTAAATATCCAGATATCTGGCATTAAATAAGCCAATCATCCTGATATTTGACTGATATTTTCAGTTTTCATCCTGAAGTTTGGTATTGTACAAACCTAGTTTATGTAAGGGAAAAGATTGTAAGGTCCTAGAGGGCAGAGACTATGTTCTGTATTTTTATTTTGTATTCTTCATGCAGCATCTAGTACAGCATGTGGAAAGTACTACACATAATGAGTACTCAGTCAGCATCAGTGACTGTTGCCACAAGCCAAGTAAAAGTGCAGAGTTGAGGCAGTTATCCAGAGAATTCAGGGAATGAGTACCAGCTACTTAAAGAAAAGATAGTTTTATTAACTTAAATTGTTTAGATTGTCTACATGACTCAGATTCACTAGATGATTGCCCAACCTTTCACTTACTTATGTCTTCGTAAATATGGGTGTATCTGAAGCCAGAGTAATACATTCAAGACTATCTAAACAATTTAAACTCTCAAAAGGAACACTGGCAGGTTTGCATTATTTGTTGTTTGCCATGCTTAGATTCATTCAGTGCTCACTGCCCTTATCTTTTCTTGACTTCTCTCTGGATCTACATAGTGCAGGCTAGGCAGGCTTGGCGCCAAATTACTACTGGTTTCTTGCCTTACAGCAGAGCCTTAAAGGATAGTCATGTTAAATCAGATGGACCAGATGTGTTGGTGCCCTATAACCTAGAAAGAGCTTGTGTTTCCACATTCACTTATAATGGAAAGTTGAGACAATTTTATGGATAATGCAGTCCAAAAGTCTACTGAGGAAAAAAAGTCTGAAGTTGCCATCTTATCAAAATTGACTCTCTGCCAAAATCAAATAATCTAAACGACTGTTCAGCTTTTTGCTATGCTTTGCCTGTCCAGACAAATACTTATATATTGTATTGGCCTGGCCCCAGGTATTTGAAATAGTATTGGTTTTTCAAAAGACTGTTGAGAGCCAAAGGCTTGAAAATTCAATTTTCTCCACAGAATTTTGCCTCATGTTTTCAAGAACTTAATGGTCATCTTTGAATTTACTATGAACTGTATTTTATCATCAATTCCATAAGCATCCTAATGTATGTAGTATCAACAAAATGCATGCACTAAGGGCTTTCTCTATGGTCAAATCAGGTCTCCCTGAGCATGCCATAAACTTTCCATCATGTGTTTCCATGTTGGCACTCAAAGAACTTTATTCTCAAGCTAAGGAAAGTATAGAAAATGCTATCTCCTTGGCACAGAAGAAGAATAGGCTTTCTTCTTCTCTGTATTTCACAACAGTAAGTACTGAAGTGAAAAACACACACACACACACACACACACACACACACACACCCCTCTAAGCTGCCAACACTAACACCCTAGCATAACTAGGAACCCACGATGTGTCACTGATCAGAGAGAGAAGATGAGCTGGTAAGGCTCTTACAGAATAGCCAGAGTTTTGCTTTATTCTGCATCAGGCCTTGTCCCCTAAGCCCAGAACGTTCGTGGAAGCATTCATTCTATTGTACAACATGGCACATGTGGGCAACAATTTCCCCTCCCACTTAACAGTTTACTAGAAATCCCCACTCTAGTCCATTCCCATGTTCCTCCACCTAGAAGAAAATACTCAAGTAAAATTCCTGCCGGCACTTTCTAAGAAATAGCCTTTACTTTTCATGGCTCTATTACCCACCTGTAGCACATGGGATTGGTCCACTTGTAAGAATGTAGTGCATGTGCATGTCTATAGCACGTTAAAGGGTACACAGTGATTACAGGGTACAACAAGCCTGTGAAATAATGACTTGCCCATGGTCACATAGCTAGGAAGTTTGAAGTAAGAGTTGAACCTGGGTCTTTTGACGGCTAGTTCAAGGCCTCTTCATTGCTGCCTGTTACTATACAGAATGCAGAGATGCTAAATGGGCTCTCCTTATTCAGTATCAGATCACAGACTTAGAAGTAGTATGGACCTGAGAGGTCTTCTAGTCCTACACTCTAATATAACAAATGAGGAAACTGAGGCCCAGAGAGGTGAAAGGTAATAAATGGTAGAGCCAGGATTCAAGCCTACATCCCCTTCCTCCAGAATTTGCAATCTTTCACTGTACCTACTTCATAAGTATATGGTATCCCATACCTCAGTGATTACATTATCGTTTCCAGAGAGCACCTCCAAATTAGATTTGTTATAAATAATGAATTGCTTAGTTTTGACATGGTACTTTTAGTTAGACTTACTTCAAAGAAACCCAGTCAGTGACTAAAAATATAAAAATCAGATATTATCCTTATCCCAACTCCTTCATGTTTGTCAAAAGCTTCCATATGTATTGTGAGCAGACAAAGTTTCTTCACCAGCAATCTGATTGATATTTGCCATATTCTGATCAGTCCCCAAAAGGTTTTTTTTTTCTCCCTCCTGAACTAAGAGTTCAGAAAACCCAAGTTTTCATGCCAGCTCTGAAACTTACTAGTTTTTTGACTTTAAGGTCTGTGGTTCCGTTTTCTTCATATGTAAAACAGAGAGAATAATATTTTCCCTTGCCAAAGGGAAAGACTCAAAGGATTTCAAATAATATCATATGTGTGAAAGTGCTATTCAAATGGTAGTGATTTTATTAATTTGAAAACACTTGTTTTCAAGAGTGACCCACCAGGTTCAGTTCAGCTATAACCTAATAACTAGAGACATTCCCAATTATTAATGATTTTTGGCAGTCATAATGCAGAAAAAAATAGTCCATTCAGTATCCCATTCAGCAAACCAGAGCACAACACAGTGCATTTCCTTAATTTCAGCCCTGGTGACTGCAGCAATTCATCAAACCAGTACTTACTGTAGCCAAGATAACTGGATCAACAGTGGCACCATCTCTATATTTTACCAGGACACCAAACATCTTGGTAAAACCTGAAATGTTCCTTTGTTAATCCAGCAGATTTCCCAGTTACCCAGGTATTTGTCATTGGGTAAACACAACCAGATATGTACTTTTTATTTCTGTAAAACTGTAACTATGTTGAAATCACTTCTATCTATATACTCATTCCTTGAGCTTTTGCATACATTACTAAATTAAAAGAGCATGGGCAGCTGAGTAGGGATTATTTCATTCTTTGTATTTTGTATCTCTAACAGCTAGCACGGTTCCTGGAACAGAGCAGGCACTTATAAGTGCGTATTGGCTGATTATAAATTTATTTATCTCCAATATGTGGCATTTTACTACTAGTAAGCTAGAAAATTAGGGCAAGACATTTAATTGTTTCAGATCTTAGACAAAAATTGGGAAATTTGTCTTTTGCACCCTTTACATACCATTTCTTTGCTCGTTGTTCCCCTTTCTATGTAACCCTTTGTCCCCTCGCTCACCATGACCAAGGTTGCTTTTCTGCCCCTCTTATCAAGAGCAGCACTCAACAAACTAATTAAAAACTTCATTAACACTAAAATATAAATAATGTGTTGCATCTCCTATCTGTGTCTCCCCTCCCATCTTTGGGTTCAAAAAAATCACTTGTTCAAGACACAGCTCATATCGAAACAAAAAACTCGGGGGATTTTAGTAGATTGTAAGTTCGCTATGAAACCACAGTGAGATATGGCAGCTTACAAAAGCAAATGTAATCTTAGGCTGCATTCACGAGGTATAACGTCCAGAAAAAGAGAGAAGTTTTAAACACACTATATTCTTCCCTGGCTATTATGTTCAACTCGGGCCGCCATAAAGGATAGTGACTGACAAGCTGGAGCTTGCCCACAGTAAAATCAACTAAGATAGTGAAAGGAAGACATCAGGCATATGCTAGAAGTTTTCAAGCCTCGGAAGGACTGTCCTGTGGAAGAGAAATTTTACTTGTCTGCTTGGCACCAAAGGGCAGAGTAAGAGCAGCAGGTGAAAG